TTAGCAGCTTGCGCCTCGTTAAACATCGATTCTGTGAATGAGGGTGACTTGGAAACCTCTATTACGCCAAGTGCCTCCTTCGAGGCATTGCCCATGGCTCGCGAGGATCCGGCCCCGACCTCCTCGGTTTCTCTAACTTGATGAGGGACAACCTCACCCCCCTCCGGCTCGAAAGCTCTTTGACCTTCGGGCTGATGAGGCACGCTATCTATCAAGTCAAAGGCCCCTTCTTCCCCATCGGACTCATCTCTTCATCGGTAAAGTGAATCCGGAAGCGACACTCGATAACTGGTGCCTTCCTTGGGTTTTTCGCACCAATCGCCTCTTCGGTTTATCCTTTTCAGGGTTCGGAGAACTTGGAGCCTTTTTTCTTTTCTTCTCTTTATCCTGCTTTGGAGGAGGGGGCTCGGTGAAGACGTCATCGTCACCAGATGGAATTTCAACATCTTTTGGTAAACCTGCAAAAGGAAAATGAAACAAGTTAGAAATCAACGGTGTGGAAGTAAAGTTGAATATAACTTAAAGAAAGAATCTCACCATGAGAACGGGCCTCCCATCGGCCCTTCGAAAGCTCACGCCACGCGCGCTCAGAATAAGATTTTTGCGACACGATGCCCTCGACCCACTCCTTGAGTAGAGGAACTGCATCCGGCATCCGATCAACAGCTGCATCATAAAGAATAGATAAGAAGAAGGGCAAAAGAAAAATGATAAACCAAATCTTAAAGGCAAGGTTATACTTACACTTCATGTTCCATTTCTCAAGAAATGGCATGTCCGAGGCCGGGATTAAGTCCGAGGTCTTCACTCGAACAAATTGGCCCAACTAGTCTCAATCCCGATCCTCGTCAATTCTCAAGAACGGAGCCTTACTAGCCCGACGGGCAAGTTTTATTAGCCCCCCTCGATAGAGTCGGGGACTGTACAGACGCATGAGGTGATCGATGGTGAAGGGGCACCCCTCGATCTTGTTTACAAAAAAGCGGAGGAGGATGACTATCCTCCAGAAGGAGGGATGAATTTGGTCTAGGGTCACCTCGTACCTCTTACAAAAGGCGATGATGACCGGGTTTAAAGGGCCCAACATGAAGGGATAAGTGTAAACACTTAAAAAACCCTTCACATGGGTGGTGATTACTTCCTTGTGCGTACGAATCACTATGTGCTTACCGACCCAGTTGCAGTCCTCTTTGACCTTGTCGAGAACACTGTCGGTGACCGAACATATATATCTCGAGACCGGTTCGCATCGGCCCGGTACCGAGGAGGTTTTCTCAACCTTGAAATCGGCTTCGTTGGACACCCCGTAGGGACAAACATCTTTAGAAGGGGTTCCTGTGTTGGTTCCTCAGTAACAACAGGCAAAACGTTCTCAGTCGGTTTCGAGGAAGAGGGAGTTTCTTTTTGAGGTACGAATTTTGAAGTCTTTTCCATTGCTTCTAAATAGAGGAGAAAGGAGGGTGCTGATAAAAGAGGAGGTGTAATTAGCAGATAACTTATGAAAGCTTTCAGAAAACCAGAAGGAAAGAAGTTTGAAGATGAGAGTGATGAAGTTTTCTTAAAACACAAGTGCAAATATTTGAATGTAAAAGTTCTAATGAATGGATGAAAAGGGTATTTATAGTTTTCTCAAACGGCGGTTCGTATCCTGAAGCGGCAGACCATTAACTGACACACATTCAATGCCTCGAAGACTGGACCGACTAGATGTTTCAACTATTCTTATCACTTACGTCGTGAATTTGTCGTCATTTATCAGAGTGAGAATCCGAAGATCGTATAGTGAGAATCTGAGGTTCATATCATTTCTCGTCATTTACTCTCTGAAAAAATGAGGAAACTCTCTATATACGGTAGAAATCGAGCTCGCCTATTGCATAACGTATCGGGGATAAAATATAATGGATTGTAGATCGACCCTGGATTCCATCGAACCTAGGTACGAGGGTAGAACATGCACCTTCAAAGATTATCGAGTCCGTGACCCCGAAACTGACTCTGACTCCGAATTAGCTCGAGAGAACATCATCGAACCAAAATAACGGAAGGCCGAAATATCCGTAACCGGTCGCACATCACGATGGAAATCTCGGCACGAATCAATGAAACCGATTAATTAGTAAATCATGAAAGTTTTTACCTTATATAGAGTTGTACCTAAAGTAGGATTCCCCAACTATATAAAGGGGGTCTGATTATTTGTAAAACATATTATAACTCGCATCTCAAAGCAATAAACTATCATTTCTAGTTATTATTATCTCATTACTCTGTTCCGACATCGATTGTAGCATTTTCGACTCAAGGGTGATCAACCTTCAAGGCCAAGATTGTTCAACTGGTGTGGTTTGTATTTACTTTTCTTATCATTAATTTCAATCTTAATCTGACTTCTCATTTTGTATCAAGTTAGATGACGTATCCTTAAAACTACGTATAAATTCAATTGTTATCCGATTTTGAGGGTAAACAAAAATGTTCTTGTTTAAGCTCAAGAGACGCAAATTTCATAAATGTTTAAGCTCAACATTTATGAAATTGTCCAGCATGTATAGAGTTGGACAGTTCCATAAATGTGATGCATTTTGTGGCACTAAAATTCGAGGTATTGTTCCAACTCTTGAGCATACTCAAAGTTCTTTAACTAATCTTGGTTCATTAAAAGTTCTCTTCAATAACATCCAAACTAGAAAGTGAATATTGAAATGACTATTGTTTCGATTTTTTTTTCTACTTTTTTTTTCTTGACAATGTGTAACTTGAAAATAGTTTTCATTGAATAATGATATTTTATTCCATATATTGTTTTGATGAATAAGGAGATATATTTGAGTTGTATGCTATGACAAACTTTAAAAAATTGTGAGTATTATTTATACTTAAAGTAGTATGTTACATATTCTTTTAAGATTCTTACAAGTTCTTTCTCTTATAATTTTATAAGCCTTTTAATTTTTTGCATTATTACGTTATTTTGTTAATTTATAAAACAATACAATTTAAAGATTCATGGGGCTCGCAGACCTTGCTTTGGAACTTACTTCTCAGCTAATACTAAGTAAAACGTCTTGCCCGCATTTCAATCTTTTAAAATATTGAACAGAATTTCTCAAGAGGCATAGGTGTAATTCAAAGAAGTTCACAAAAGGTATAACTAGTAACATAACCACGTGGCATATGTTAATGAAAAAATATTAGTTTAAGTCTAGATTACCACTAAAAAGTTATCCATCGACTTGAAAATCACATTAGTTCTTATCAACATGGGCGGCGGCCCAACTAAAGCTTGCTTTATGCCCAAAAAATTTAAGGGTCCAAAATTACTAGTATTCTTTATATATAGTAGTATATTATTTATATAATTATTTTTTATTATTGATAAATTTATTTCTTTATTGTCATATTAATTTTTAATAACTCGATTTCTTCCTCTAATTAATATAACTAAAATAGTTTTCTGTCAATCTTATTTTACTTTTTTACTTAATTATATTTCTCTATTCATTAGTTGGTCACGTAACTATATCTAATAATCTAACTTATTATTTATTTTCCTTACATAAATTATACTCTCTCCGTCCCAATTTATATGAAAGTGTTTGACTGGACATGGATTTTATGAAATAAAGGAAGACTTTTTAAACTTGTAATCTTAAATAAATCATAGAAGTTTTTGGGCTAGAAATCATCTCATTAATGGTAAAAAGAAAAATCTAAAGTTGAATTGTTACCAAATATAGAAAGAGACTTACTAAAACAAAAGAGTCACGTATGTTTTCTTGGTTCTCCCATTTCAGTTGTGATGCAATCAACGTTAAATTTATTTAATTTTTTGTATTTTATAAAACTAAGTTCTCATTTTTTTAATTCTACATCCTCACTTGTCTAATTTTTTTANGAGATTGGGCCGCCCTAACTTATCAATGTCGAAAAACTGATTGAATTAGAATTTAAAAAGAAAAAGAAGATTTGATTACCTGCCAAAGTAAGTAATCAACAAGAATTGCTCTTCCTCCTCTTTTTCTTTTTCATTTTTTATTATTTTAAACCCCATTAGCAGCCTGACATAGACCAATGGGGTCAATTTTACAAGATTTTGTATTATTTTATGATAAAGAGAATGAATAAATTAGACTTAAAAAAAGAAATAGAAAAATAATGAAAGGAGAGGGAAGAATTGAGAAAGCCCATACTAAAAATTATTCCAAAATTTCTCGTGCCAAAGAATATATTCCTGCAATTTCTTGAAGAAACTTCCCTTTCCCATGCGAAAGAAATAATACCAACTTCTCTACGTTAGACAAAGTTTGTCCCTAACAAAAGCTTTCTTATAAAATAAAAATAAAAATTCAATAGGGAATTAATATATTCGAAAATTTAAATATAAAGAATACTAACTTTTAAGACCTCAAAGTGGGAATTGAGGAAAAAGGAAAAGGAAAAAGAAAAAAAAAGATAGCGGTAATTAAGAAAATTAGGTCTTGTTTAATGTGTAACCAGATGTAATTAACATTTTTTGATAAATCAATATCTTTAATCATAACAAATATTCAATTACATGACAAAGAATTCCTTAAACTAAAAAAAGAGAAATGACATTGTATAACCACTCTCAAAATAATAACCGAAAAATATTTTTTTTATATAGATGTATTTCTATATGTTATGTACAAGAAAATATACAAATTTTATACACTTTTACGGCTATGGAATGTAAATAGTTTCAACCGCAGGCTAAAAGTGATATTTGCCATATAATTGAAAAAACTATATTTACATCATTTATCAAATAATTATGACAAGTGTGTTAACTGAAAAGGGGAAGAATAATTAGTACTCAACAAGCAGGCTTTAAAAAAAGTGGACCCTCAAATTATATGTTTAATTTCTCAAAATTATTGGTTTCCTATGCAAGAAGAAAACTCCTAAAGCCAGAGGCATCTATAAACAAAGAAAGGCATGGAAATAAGTTAAGGAATATTTAAATTGAAAGAAAACAGTCTAAAGCATCTAAAGAAAGGTCTCTTGACAATATTTTCCTGTGTATATATAACCAATATATTCAATCTCTTCTGTACCAACAACACAACAAGAAGAAAGCATAAACAAGAGATTACAAATTACCATATTAGCAAAAGAAAGGAAAAAACACAGAAAATGGATCCAAAAGGAGCTGCACCTGCTGTGCCAACTCGAGTGTATGAAGATTTTGTGCCAACTACAGAGTTGGTTCAAGAGCAAGACTCTGATACTCTTCTCCTTAATCTCACAGGTGCAATACTTTTACTATTTCATCTTCCTTGTCATTGATTATATGTTTCTGTTAAGCGTTTGATTGAGAAAATGAGTTATTGTCTCTGTCTCGAGTAATTCCCATATCATTAGTTAACTTTTGAGGTTAAGTTAAACTCAATGCTCATTCTCTTGACAATTTTTGTTGTGGGGTATGCTTGGATTTTGCCGGGTGGAAAAGTTTATCTTACTTTAATTTATTATTTATTTCACAAAAGTCACTTAACTATTTTTCATCACTTAAAAGTCACTCAACTTTACCTTTGTAACTTAAAAGTCATTTTAGTTCAAAACTTACAAAATATTCAATAAAAAATATGGCATAGCATTACATTTAATTAAAACATCTAACAATAATGCCACATAAAAATAGACCATATCTAAGTTAGACTCATTTCTTCTTCGGCCTAATTTGACCTAAAACCAAAATGAGTTTTTAATATTTGAACAATTAACTGGACTAGCACTTTGATTTTGTGGTTAATTTGTAGAAAAAGAAATCTAAGAAATTTAAGAAAAATTAGGTCTTTTGAATTTATCTTTAGATTTTGGTAGTACTTTTACGATCAATGACACAATACGTTGTCTCTTTCTTTTGTCCAAATTATCGCTATACGTTGTCTACGATTGTGGTGTATATTGACAATTTCTACTATACAATTTTATTGTGGGTGTTTCTTACTGAGCAATATTTTTGTCTTTTAGTATTGCTTAATAAGCAATATTTTGACTTTAATGGAATAGTAATTTGTGAAAATAGGTTCTTATTAGCTTGTTGTTCTTGTCTGTTAATGGTACATTTAATTATTATGTGAGATTGATATGGTAGTATTTTAACTTCATGAAAAATTATAAAATGATATGAAGGATGCAAAAATTGGTTATGTTCTAGTTTTATTCATATTTTTAATGAAATTATAGGTGGTGGTATTAGGATTATTACATAACAAATTAAGTAAGATATTTTTAGCACAAAATAATTGTTCTCTTCTTTTCCTTCTAATTGTCAAAATATTAAAACTCATTTTGGTTATAGGTCAAATCGGGCCGAAGAAGAAATGAGTTTAACTTAGATATGGTCTATTTAAGCTTATGTGACATTATTGTTAGATTTTTTAATTAAATGTAATGCCATGTCATATTTTTTATTGGATATTTTGTAGGTTTTGAACTAGAATGACTTTTAAATTACAAATGTAAAGTTGAGTGACTTTTAAGTGATGAAAAATAGTTAAGTGACTTTTGTGAAATAAATGATAAGTTGGATGACCATCAGTGAAATTAACCCTGACTTTAAGAAATGAGTGTACTCTCTAATATTAGATTCTGAACAAAGAAATGAAAATTATACAACCTTTTTTATATAATATTTCGAAAAAATAAGAATGCAGATACTTTATGTTCCTGGGAACAATGTCATTATTTTCATGGGAACATAAAAAATAAAAAAATGAAGAGTTTCATGACTTTATTGACCGGACCAGGAAAAAAAAAGTTTTTCAATTTTTTATGATACTTAGGGGTCGTGGTCTATATTTAATTTTTTTTCTTAGATAAAATGAATGGAAACAGGGTGCTTGTGTTGTGCTTTTCGTAGTAGCAAGACACCTTTTTTTTTTCTCTAGAAAATGTCCACCTTCAATATCATTATTGGGTCGACCAGGCTGTTCCAGCTGAAATACTTTGGATGAAAATGTCACATTTCAGTGTAGGTTATTTTATGGCCTTTGTCACATTGTTTGATAGTCTGTTACCAAAACATTGAACTTTTGTAGGTTTCAAGAAGGAACAAGTGAGGGTTCAACTGACCAAATCAGGAATTCTGAAGATCAGTGGACAAAGGCCAGTTGGACAGAACAATTGGCTTCGTTTCCAGAAGGACTTCCCTATTTCAGAAAATTGTGACAAAAACAAAATCAGTGCAAAGTTTGAAAATTGCATTCTTTATGTTAAACAACCAAAACTGATAACTTCAGCAGAGAAAAAGGATAAAGAATTGCCAACCCCTGATACTCAACAGCCCAAGAAACCAGCAGATCATGCACAACAGGTTCATAAGAAAGACGAAGAACAAGTGAAAAGCCAAGAATTGCCAACCCCTGATACTCAACAGCCCAAGAAACCAGCAGATCATGCACAACAGGTTCATAAGAAAGACGAAGAACAAGTGAAAAGCCAAGAATTGCCAACCCCTGATACTCAACAGCCCAAGAAACCAGCAGATCATGAACAACAGGCTCAAAAGAAAGACGATGAACAACCGAAAAGCCAAGAATTGCCTAAGCAGGCTAATACTGATAATGCCGCGGCAAAAGAACCAGAAAAAGAAGAACCAAAGATCACGAGTCCTGAAACGAATGAACAAACAACAGAAGCTAAAGATCTCCCAGAGAAAACTCCTGCTGAGAAAAGTAAAAATGTTGAAGATGAAAACAAACCAAGTTATGACACTAAACATGAAAATGATGCAAAGATGGGAACTGGAGTTGCTTTAGCTGAGAAGCTGAAGATGCCAAGGAAAGTGATGAACATGACTCTGATTGCTCTTTTGGTTCTTGGAATTGGCCTTTACATCAGCAATATGATGAAGTCTAACAATTACCAAGCTGAAAAATGAAGCTTTTCATCGATCAAAATCAGAAAGTTGGGATATTTGCATTCCTCCCAGCTGTGAGCCTTGAATGAATAACTCACTGACTACTTCCTTTTTCTCATTGCTGAATTGTGTACATGAAATCTGTTTCGAATCTGAAAAATATTCATACGAATAAAACATGACTTTTACTAAGGTGTTCTGATTTATGTCTGATGTGTGCTGATTACTAAAAAGGAAAGCAAAAATCTGAATTCATGTCCTTGTAAAAGAGTCAACCCAAGATCAAGCAGAAAGACTATATTAAAGGGAAATGAGATCAATAAGCAGAATATCTCTGTGTTTGGCAACTAACTGTCAAGCCATGGTAGAGGTCAAAACTCAAAACTAGAATATCTAGGCGTACAGCATACCATTTAATACAATAAGAAATTGTGAGAAGTTGCTAACTCCAAGAGCATCAGGAAGATGCTTTATAGTTGAGAAGATGAGCTGCTGAAAAAATGAGAGACATTTCCTAATAGTGGAGCAGCTGTTTTGCACATTATCTAATTGGTGGTAACTGTTTTGTGATTCCATCTTTAAATCGATTTTCTTCCCCACGAGTTAAAGTTTCGATAAGAATGCTAGTTCTTACTGTTCACTATGATATGAATATACCACATCAATTCGTTATGTATGGATGATGAGATTCCATTGATTCATAGCAAATTTCGAAGTAGGAATGAACCTATGAATTCGCCAAATATGAGTTGGGCGCTTTAACCATTCAGTCATGGATGCAAACAAACTCAGCGACTGGGCCATGCACCAATATAACACCCTATGTTCATACAAGTTATGGCAAAGATTAACTGATTTACTGTGTTTCACATTATATTGTATTTCATTAATGTAGTACTTATACTATCCTGAGCCGAGGGTCTATTGGAAACAACCTCTCTATCCTCACAAGGTAGGGGTAAAGTCTGTGTACACACTACCCTCCCCAGACCCCACGGTGTGGGATAATACTGGGTATGTTGTTGTTGTTGCAGCAAGGCGAATAAAATTGTTCTTTGTCTAGAATTGATCATTCACATCACTAACAGAGATAACAGAGGCAAGGTAGACAAAGATTTTCAAATATTGTAAAATTGGACAACAACAGCACCATACTCATTATGATCCCACAAATGGGGTCTCGGGAAATATTGTAGAATTGGAGTAGAGCCACAAAAGGAAGCAGATGACAACCCTTGCCACGAGTCATTCCTTGTTCACACAGTGACACAATCCTAAAGCACATAGCAATAACAACCAAGAAAAGAAGAAATACAACCAAGACAGGAGAAAAAGCGACATTTGGAAAGTACATATACATCCCGACTCTGTTACAGAGCAGTAACTTTTTCAGTTCTGCAGTTATCCTTGTGTTAGAATCCGCGATTGAGAGGGTGGGGATGTGGGACAATGTCGCTACCTCTTTTGATTATTTCTTTTGCTATAGGATGATAGTTAAGAGATTCCACAAAAGCATGTGATTTCTATTGTAAAATAGCTCTTGCATGCTTGGTAAAACTGCAGATAGATGTAGATAATATTACTTGAGACGTGGATACATTTTAGATTGAAATTGAATATGTAATTCCTAGCGAGGATGTGGAGGAGGGGGCTTCCTGATATGAGTTGCTTGTTCAAAGCCATATGCAATCTCAATGAGTGTAGGTTCAGAACCCTTTAGTCCTCCAAAGGAAATCCCAAATGGAACTCCATTTTTATCATAACCAGCAGGTACATTGATCCCAGGATAACCTCCAATTGCGAGAAGACCAGCAATGCCTGCACCAGGTGACATCAAAGCATCTAATTTATTATCTTTCATCATCTTCTCAAACCCATATTTGCATGCTTTTGTTATGTTCTTCAGTGCCTCCCTTTCCAATTTCCCTATTCCATTTGTCTTCTCAGCTTCCAACATTGTGTCTTGACCAAATTTTTTGACGTTTTCCTACATTAACACCAAAAAAGAACGAAAGAGAATGAAAACACGATAGATCTCCATTCTACTTCTAGTGATGATACCTAGTAAATAATTTTGATTAACTAATGAAAGTTAAAGTTCCTTTAACAATTGATTACAAAGGATGACATATCTCTTAGTTCGGAGAGCTTCAATCACGACTCGTGTGACTAACATGTTAAGTCATATGTGGATTTTTTGCCTTTTTACAGGGTGGGCAGGCGATAATGTTTTTGAGTAGATATTTGCATACATTATGTAGAGTAAGAAAGAATAGAATTATGTTAGGTTCAACATCCAAAATAAGAGTACCAATGGGTTAACCTGTTGAATCTATAGGAGTCTATTAGTGCTAAGTTTTTCTTGAAACTTAATGCGAGTATTTTGCATATCATTCACAAAACAAAATCAGCGTTAGCCAATATGGAAAGATGGTGACTTGGTGAGAGCAGCTAGCTTGGGCCTCTTAAGGCCCAACATATCCACATAATGAATGTGGTAGGGATACAATATTAAGATGAATACACGGTCATATAAGATTAAATAAGACTAGAAATGATTACATCTAAGAGAGTGCACAATAGAGAGAAGGCCATGTAAGATGGTTTGATAGGAGTAACCAAAATCATAAAAGTTCTCTTAAACGACCAAAAATCTCCTATAAAAAGATGTAAAGTTAGCTAAGAACAAGGGACTCATATAGGCGATGTTGGAATAGTTGGATTAAACCTTAGTTGAGGTTGTTGCACTTATCTCAAGTCTAGTGTTTACTATGAGTCTTTTAGTTTGCTTAGCGACTTGAACTCCACTGTAGGAATAGTGAGGAATTTAAAAGGAAAACGCCTAGTTTTAAAAGACCAATAATCTATGAACAACATGAAGGGGAGCCTTGGCGTACCTGGTAAAGCTATTGTCATGTGACCAGGAGGTCACGGGTTCGAGCCGTGGAAACAACCTCTTGTAGAAATGCCTTGATCTATGAACAGCATTTAAATGCATTTGGCCCAAGTATAACAGAATAGTTACAAGGATTCGTATAACTAACCTCAACATTGTTTAATACTGAGGTGTTAATTGATTGACGGTACTTACCGAAGCTGAAATCTTGTTGAAGGCAATAACATCCGCCAATGATCGGACTCGAGAGTGGACTAACTTTTTAAGGTATGCATTTAGGTCCATCTTGAATTCGGCGGTCAGTGCTATGTCTTGAGCATCAAACATAGCAGTGTAGACCAAGTTGATGTTAGGTATTTCCAGGTTGTCAACTAACACTGCTCCTTTTTGCCTTCAATTTAGCCCAGAAAAAAGTGCATTGCTATTAGGATATTCAGTAACAGTACTAAACTATGGATATGCTAGTGAGAATAGAAAGGTTACCTTAAGGTGTTAAAATGGTTTTGGTAAGCTTTGATATCATCTGAGATAAAAAGGTCCTTTGTAATTCCCAATCTCTTACCTCTGAGCCCATCAGCCTTGAGAAATTGCCGGTACCCATCACGAGGAATGTAAGTGGAAGCCTGTTTCGTTGCAGGCGAGTCATCTTGATCGAAACCAACGATGGCATCAAGAACCTCAACAGCATCAGATACTGTCCTGCAGATTGGCCTGTTCAATGCAGAAAAATGCATTAAACAAAAACATCTTCGATATGTCCTTGTTCATGTTTCTCATTTAAGTTTTTTGCATTTTGCACCTCTAATGTACTTACAATAGTTTGCACTATATTCTCTGTTATTTTCATTTTCTGCTTCAGGTACCTTCTTGCAAGATAATTACTAAAACACTAGGTCTTGAACACAATGTGAACTTTTGACAAATTTCTTCTCATTATCTAAAACATCAACTTTTTATTCTTCTTTCTCCTTCACTCACTTAAATAGATAAATTGGGAGATCACAGACTTAATTTAGCGGATGACTTACAGAAGAGCAAATGTTTTGCTTGTAAAGCAAGTATTGGTGGATCCAAAAGCGAGTTGGCAGATTCGGAAGAATATAGAGGTTTTGGAGTCAAAATTTATAAATTTGTGCAGAAAATAATAACAGATAGAGGTAGATATACATATTTTAACGTTCACTTTCTCAACTCAGAACTTACAACGCCTAATTCCTGAATTCTTGAAGCAGTAGCTCCTGATTGAGAGTTGGACACTTACCTACCTTATTATTATGACACGAAAAGGAGAAAGATTTCATTTTTTTGTTGAGGTGAGTAAAGGGGGTTTGCTTAGCTAGCTCATTTTCACTAGCTGTGCTAGTGAAATGACCCGATTCACCTAGTTAGTCCAAACCCTTTGCAGTTCCAGAGGACCCTCAACAAGAAGAGGCAATGATGCCACATCTGGACACTGCTGTGGATCCGCCACTGAAAGCAAGTATTCTCATTTTACCCCATCAAATTATCACATTTGTTCCAAACTGTGGCATTGAATAGTTTCGCGAAGAGAAAAAAACTAGGGAGAAAATCATTCAGAAGATGTAGGAGTGCAAAAAGGTTCATGTTTATAGACACAAGTATGCAAAACAAACTCTTGTTTTTTAAATGAAACTTAAGATTTAAATTTGTACATACCCAACAGTGTCTTGCCTATGTGAAATTGGGACAACACCTGCCCTGCTGGTGAGGCCTACAGTTGGTTTGATTCCAACAACAGAATTAACACTTGACGGAGATAGAATGGAACCTGCTGTTTCTGTCCCCAGTGCTACTGCTGCCATGTTTGCTGCTACTGATGTTGCAGAACCAGTGCTTGATCCTGATGGATCAGCACTTGCTACATAAGGATTCTGAAAAAACATGAGTAAAACACACTAAACGTCAAACATATACACTGTATTTACCTTTTGTAACTATACTTTCAGCAAATTTATCATTCGTGACTATATTTGAATTTTATAGCAAATCCATGAAACAAGAGATCAATTATTTTGACCTGAAATAAGAGAGCAACAAGCTCTCGCAGCTTAGTTTGTTAGAGTGTCTGCTTGATAAGCGGAGGTCTTGAATTTGACTCTCAATAAGAGCATTAGGTTTTTCTTTTCGCCTTGGTTTTATTTGTTGCGCGAATGAATATAGTTGATACATGTTGTATTCTTTGAATACACCCCTCTATTTTACCTTGGTTGTATTCGTTGTGCGAACGAATACAGTTTGATACAGGCAGTATTCATTGCGCGAATGAATACAATTGACATAGGTTGTATTCGTTGCGAACGAATACAATTGACACAAGCTGGTAACAATTGAACAATAGTTACGAGTGATAATTAGGCAAACTATATTTACTAGGCTTTAAACTGTAGCGCTTTATGAAAATTCCTCAATTATATACTTTAAATCTTTGTTTCTCTTTCATTCTTATCTTTTGTATCTTAACAAATCACAGAGGTGGCAAAATCAATGTATCTTTTACTAACCTGCCCAACCTATTCCAGTTTAGAAGAGTTGGATTATGGCCCATTTATTGACTTGATCTATAAAGTTGAACCAGAAATGATATATCGAACTATAGGGGCAAAACGGATCAAAATAGCAAATTAGTGCAACGCCTCGTGTCAAAATGGAACCCAAACCCAAACAGGTTTCATCATGATCAAATTTAAAGATTGTGTAAATTTTGAAGAACTTAACTACTAATAATTTAAGGAAAAACATTGGCCTTCATATTATTTTCAAAAGGCAAATTCCCAATATAAAAGGAAGTAAGTTAAGTCATGTTGGCCGGATTGGTTATGACCAATTATTTGACCCATCTTTATCTAACTCATTTTGACCCAAATAAACTTTGAGTGATTCGAGTTACGACGTGTTTATTGATTTGACTCATTTTAGTCACCCAAATTTGACACAACCCGCACATTTAACACCTCTTACAAATCAAGTTTTATTTGACCTATGACTTACCAGAGCTTGGCCAAGTCTACCATTCCAACCATTAGGCAACTCTCCAGATCTAAAAGCAGCCCACTCAGTCATAGTTGCCTTGCCAAGTATGATAGCACCAACTTTCCTCAACTTCTTAACTACACCAGCATCTTTTGGTACAATGGATCCAAGAAGAGCTAAAGATCCAGCTGTTGTGTTAAGCTTATCCTTAGTTGCAATATTATCCTTAACAAGAACAGGGATACCATGTAGCCTGGATAGTGATTTTGGCGTCTTCGCTTTACGTTCTTGGTCAGCTTTATCTGCAAGTAGCTAGGAGTGTCAAATCGATTGAATTTAGACAGGTCAAAATGGACTGAATCAATAAATGTTCGACAAGTTATTAACCCGTCCAAAAGTTACTTGACCGATACCTGCTAGATATAGTGCATCTGGATTCACTTCTATGATTCCTTTAAGAACTGGATTAGCTCTTTGAATTTGTCTTAGATAGTACTCAACAAGTTGCCTTGAGCTCAGTCTGTTTTGCTTGAAAGCTATTTGAATATCATTGACAGTTATTTCCTTAAATGAGAATGTTTTTGCCTCAGTAATATTCCCATTGAAGTTGGATAATATCATGCACAGACAAATGAATAGAATGGCAAGAACAGACATTTTTTTTGTGAAAGCTATGAGAATATCTGTTTAGTATGAAGCTCACTTTATAGTATTTGATTCAGTTGCAAAAGAAGATGATATATAGATGCAAAGGAATGACCACTACTTTTCCAAAAAGATCCAAATGCGTTGGATGGTCCACCAATAAACGTTTTTCAATGTCGAAAAGACAGTGGCGGATCAGTAAAATTATCATATCGCGCAAACCAGAAAAAGGTGTCATGACCGGTCTCATGCGCAAAATTCAAGTTCAAATTTATCTTGAACCTTGTCTAACTTTCCTTTTTTGTTGTGTTTTTTATTTCCTTTGTCCCAATCATTTTACTTTTTGGCTACCTCCCAATTTCCTATTTATCGTTTATTATCTTTTATATGTTTTTCTCTATTCTATTATTTTATCTCTAATCTTTAGCAAAGGCACTAAAAAAAAGAGCCTCCTATATTTAAAATACCGTAAAATAACAATTTCTCTTAATTCAAATCTTTTTTTTGGCAAAATCAAAAACTTGGGTCTTGATAGGAATTTTGGATTGAGATCAAATTAATTTTTTATAATTTATTTTTTTATTATAACATAAAAATTTATGTTATTCTATGATTGTTAAATATAATTTAACTGTCTTTACTATTAAATTATGATGAATATTTTGCAAGTATTGCTTAGAAAAATATGAGATTTTTTATTTTAATTTTTGGGATCTTGTAGTTTATCTAATTCTACATTTACTTATGGTGTATAATTTATCTATTGAAGATATTTTTTTATTTTTCTTATTTTGATTGGTGGAATTCCCTTATTAAAGATGTTATTTTACTTTTGCAAATTTACTTTTAGCATACAAAAAAAGATGCAGTTTCCTAGTAAAAATATTAATTTTACTTGTATTGTTAATAATAAAGGTGTGATTCCTTCTTTAAAATGCTAATTATATTTGCTTCTTGATGTCTAAGATGTAATTTTTGTACAACAATAACAACATACCCAGTGAAATCTCGCAAGTATATTTTGGGAAAAAAATATAATTTTCTAATTATAAATAAAAAATGCCTATTAACTGCCTGAATAAACTAAAAAATAAATAAATCAGATAAGCAAACCGAACAAACTCTATATTAGTTATTTTAAGGTGTATATTAAAAAAAAATTGTGGCACCCGCCACGTTCAAATCCTATATCCGCCTCTGCCAAAAGACCGCCAACGTTAATTAGTGTGATGCACATGTTAATAAACAATTCAAAAGCATTTCCCTCGTTTATTGTGAAAAAAGAAAAGAAAAGTGGAACAAACATTATATTGAATAATGCTAATTTGTTTTATGTAGGAAGGATAAATGAAATCAAGCATTGTATTAACAATATATTGAATTTTATATGTGGATTATTGTTCCTACTGGTCCCAACCTCATTATTGTGTTATTTACTTATTTTAGTATAATCTTTGTATTCTCTCGGAATAATCTTGAAAAAGAAAATATCACCAATATTAAACTCATATCGGTATGCTCAATCGCCACACCGTCGATGAACAACTTCACCGGCAGTGTACAACAGTTTAAACCGAACTTGTCTCGAAAATTTCAAATTCCTAGTAAAGTGTTTGATAATTTTCACTTCAGGTCCTTTTTTGGATAGTCCAGGTTCAGCCACGCCACAGCTAAGTCCTTTTTGGTTGGCGCAAATAGGGGCTGCTTTCTCCATCCTTGCATGCTTATATATCTACAATCCAATCATTCACATCTTACACCCTTTATTCAAAATGGTATTTTTTCCTTCAATTTCAAGAACTATTTCTTCTTCAGTGAGAAAAAATGTGCAAACCCATTACAGAAAATTGAGGTACATGAGTAACGTTCCAGAAAACACTGTATATGGTGGGCCAAAACCCCAAAATCCAAATCAAAGAGTGACTCTAACGAGTCTAAGGCAAAAACATAAGAAGGGGGAGCCTATAACAATGGTGACGGGTTATGATTACCCATCAGGTGTTCATATAGATATGGCTGGAATTGATATATGCCTTGTGGGTGACTCAGCATCTATGGTGGTTCATGGGCATGACACCACTTTGCCTATTACACTTGATGAGATGCTTGTTCATTGTAGAGCTGTTGCTAGAGGTGCTAAAAGGCCTCTTCTTGTTGGTGATTTACCTTTTGGTACTTATGAGTCTAGTACTAAACAGGTAAAAGTTTTAACTTTTGTGTAATTCTTTTTACACCATCAGGTTAAATTGACCTATAATTATACATAATTGTGTGATTATTCAAAGCAAGTTTTGTATGGTATATTCTGTCAGTGTATATTAGTTAAATCCAATGGGTAATCATTTGTTGCTCAATATTGTATGAGAATTGTCACTGCGGCTGATTTTTATGCATTTGTGGGGTTATGACTGTTTGGTTGTTTGAAGTGGTGAGATATTGGATAAACAATTAAAGAGAATAATGAGAAAAGAGAGTTCTTTGGTGCTTTTTCTAATAAGGTGATGATGATATGTTACTCAATTTTGCCCAAGAATTGAAGTTTTGATTGAACTCTATTACGCGTTTGTTATTAGTGGTGTAAAATAATGCTTTTTCTTGAGTCATGTGATGTTACGTTGTTACTTATTTGAAGTGGTGAGAAATTGGATAAAGAATAAGGAGAGTGGAGAATGAATATGGTTCTTTTGGTACTCATTATTTGATCATTTCTAGCTTAAATTATTTCCAGAATTGACTTTTATGTCTTTATGATTTGCGATATAATTCAGTTGGTTCAATTGCTTCCATGTGTCTGTGATGATCTAGCTACTATCTGTTTGAGAGGGATATCCGGTGAATAAACAGGAAACCAGAAACAGTTTTCTTTACTTTCTGGTTCCAATGTTCATCAAGTGTTCGTTTATAGCTCAATTCTGGACAGAACTTTCATTTTGATGGATTTATAATTTTCCTTGCATTTTTCTTTTGCATTTGGGTTCAATCACTTTCTATATCTGCCATGTCAGGTTATGCTAAAAAAAATTTTGTGTAACTTAATTATAGTTTTATTGGGTGCTGTGTCAATTGCTTCTTTTGGAAGTGAAATTGCTAACTTTTTAATCCAAAAATTCTGTTTGATTATTCACTGCTTCTAATTGAATTGAAGGAACATTAATATTTCTTGAACAGCTGGTTCTTCATTTCAACTGCTGCTAACAAATTTTATTGCGTTGTTTAACATATTACTAGAAATTAAACCAGATTGCATGTATAAAAATGAAATAAGCTACTCCTGTTTAGGAAGTCAAGAATTGTAACTTCATGACAACACAGCTTTCAGCAATGAACTTTTGAAGATATTGCTTTATCTGTCTTATTCAAATGTTTGAGGACGTCGCTATTGAACTCGCATTTGCATCTGATGGTTGTTACTTGCACATACGACAATCAATTAAATGTTGCCTCTTCATATCGGGGCACGGGTGATCTTTTCTTGTTAAGTTTCAATGGGATGTGAATGGATTGGTGGTATTGTACTATGAGCAGGCAGTAGATACAGCTGTAAGAGTTCTAAAGGAAGGAGGTATGGATGCAATTAAGTTGGAAGGTGGGGCGCCATCTAGAATTACAGCAGCTAAAGCTATTGTTGAAGCCGGGATTGCTGTAATGGGGCATGTGGGATTAACACCACAGGCAATCAGTGTACTTGGAGGATTTAGGCCTCAAGGCAGAAATGTTGATAGCGCAGTCAAGGTATACCTATTAAAAGCTGATTGGGTACACCACTCGTATGTTTAAGGCATGCATTTATACTTGTTTTTATGTATTTTGCAGGTTGTGGAAACTGCCATGGCATTGCAGGAAGTAGGTTGTTTTTCTGTTGTTTTAGAATGTGTGCCTGCACCTGTGGCTGCAGCAGCAACATCTGCTCTTCAGATCCCCACTATTGGAATTGGTGCTGGGCCTTTCTGCAGTGGTCAGGTTGGTTGGAATTCCTACATTTTTTCACTTATTATATTGTTTTAATAAAATGTTTTAATCCAATTCTTTTACACTTTCTACTTTTTTTCCTCTTATGTTGTGGTAATAAGTTTATTCTAATTTTTTTCGAGTGATTTTTTTATCACTTTCTACATACGCACACCAATTAAAAGGGAAATGGTGTACCGACGCATAGTCCAAAAGTGTATACTAGTCGGACCGTTTGCCCGTAGATATTAAGTGTTTGTTTTACCATCTGGTCCATTGCTTCAACGTCAAACTTGAAATAGAGAATTTGAAGTTTGGAAAACAGGCTTGAGTAGTTGTTGTTGTATATAAAATCAAAGAGAGAAATGGAGTTCAAACAGTACTATATAGTTCTTAGAAAACATGAATGCTTGAAACTAATACTTCTAATGACTCACCGAGAGTTGGAAGTCCAAACATTTAACTCTTGGGTTTAAGTGTCCCATTATTTAGATATTATTACTAATGTGAAAGTTGAAAGTTTTAATATATTTATATGAAAATGAGTTCAAGAGTGTAGATAAATTTACTTTGAAGAATTTGAACATCTTTTAAGTATAAAAAGTAAGTTCGGAAGCACTCTTTTTAAACGATTAAATATTGAAGAACTTCTGAAGCTGCCTTTTTAGGAAAGTATAGACAATTTTGGGACAATCTAAGTACAAAAGTTTGAACAGTGGGAGCACCTCTTTGCAAAACCTTTTTGGTTTTTTAGAGTGCATGGATTTATACCACAAAATAAGCTGCTGCTGTTGGATAAAATGTCTGGTGAATCATTTGAAGTAGCTGTGCTATCTGTGTTTACCTGACTTGCTGTGACGAATGATTTACCTAGAATGACATTGCCACTTCATTTCATCTCTTCTCATTACAATAGCATGAAATTACATGTGATGAAATTGTGAAGCCACTCATGGAGGATGACACTCCTACATTTCCTGTGTCATGATATTAGCATGCTTTGTCAATTTCTTCACTCTCCCGCAGTAGAACAATCATTTCGACAATTTAGAGTTGACAGTTAAGATTATTTAATCGCATGTCCTAAAAATGCAGGTACTAGTTTATCATGATCTACT